AATAACAGCAAACAATCAAGCATCACTTGATTTTTTATTCAATCACAATGGAACATAAAAAATTGCATAAAAAAATGAAGCAATTGCTTCATCCTTTAAATAGTTTTTTATAACTATAATCCTATCAAAACTTAGACTGAAGATATTGAACCACATTCTTGTCCAACATGAAGGCCTTGGTCAGTACATCCGGATTGATGGGTGGATCAGATCCGAAAGTAGCATTTGCGATTGTAATTACTCCAGGATTCTGGCCACTCAGACCAGCAAAAGCAACAGCAGGAGTTTTCCCTATATTCAGTTGGAAGTGAATCATGCCAATTGGGAAGACAAAAACATCTCCCTTGTTCAAGACTTTGGTGAAGAGACGATTGTTATCCTGGTTGGATGAGACAAAGCCTACCAAGAGAGTACCCTCTAGGACTACCAAGACTTCTGTACCGCGAGGATGAATGTGGGGAGGGTTCAGTCCACCATATGGTGCAAAGTCGATGCGAACTATTGATACCCCAAGAGTGTTCAACCCTGGTAGTGTGTCAACATTAACAGTAGTGACATTTGAGCCTACTGCATTTCCCGTGTTTCCTGGGATGTTCAGTCCTGAAAAGAAGAAATCATTTGCTGTGACACGCTTTGGGTCCTTGCAAAACTTCCCATTTACAAAAACTGCACAAAGAAAGTATTAATTAGTTCATATAATTGATATCATTACACTAAAAAAAGGGTCAGACAGTGTATATGCAGAAGGCATACCACCATTCTTAATGTCGTCGAGGGCAACGCAGAAGTCCTGAAGAGGGCTAGGGTCATACGCTGAGGCTAAGGATGAAGCCAAAGCCAAGAGGGCTAAAGCTACAAGGATATTGTGAACTCCTTTCATTATGTAAAGGCAACTTTTCTAGCTTGAACTCGTCTGAGTTTTTGCTTCTTGTTGTAGGTGAGAAATCCAGCTTGAAAGCATGCCTATTTATAGCCTGAAGTCTTTGAAATAGTCCATGCATTTTAATATTTTTTAAAGCAGTAATTCAAAGAGTTGACCAAGTCTTGCAGGGAGGTTTTATATCTAATTATTTTATTTATGGATGAATCATTCTTCAGCACCTATGCTTGTTTTAGACGGTTGTTGAGGTCAATATGGATTAAAAATTCATCGAGAATGGTTGGGTACAATAATGGTCTTCAAAGAAAAATTATTTTAATTATAATATTAGGGTGCCTTCCAAAGTTGTAGTTTTTTATGGATTCATTCATGGCTTATTTTATGTAGAATATTTGAAGGAATATGAATAACCAGATTTTTACTAATTCAATCTCTAAGTAAGCAAATTAATGAAGTTATGAACATTTTGTACAATATACACATACAACATTGTTAGGTAGAGGATTTCAAAGAAAACTTATTCCATGTCATGTTAATAATTTATTTGTTACTAATTATATATATTTAACCTTCAAATATTAACACATATTTTATACATTACACTTAATATTTATTTTAATTTAGACAGAACAAATTAATATACATATTTATTATGTAAATAATTATTTTAATTTATAAAACCAAACCACATAATAAATATTTTTCATATTTTTTTATGCATATATAATCATTAAATAAGATTATATTAATAGATATTCTTCACATAAAATTTGATTCGTTGTGTATAAATATCAATGCACAATTAATATCAAGAGATTCAAAAACTCTCAGTGCTCAATTACTACAAATTACGATCAGTATCGACACCCTCACATTGTGTTAGACTTGCACAATACCTTACAATTGGTTATGTGTCGACACCTTCA